TGACGACACCCTACAAAATTTTAACTTTAAATTCCTTCAGGGAAATCCTCGTTTCCCTCACGAAAGAACATATCGACGGTGAAACTACCAAACCACGTATCTCGGTTTGCGACGTCGCAGACTTCCTGTCATACTTTATTTTTTAAATGAAAAACTACTTAACATCCAGTCTTGAAAATTTCTGTGATTTTTCCTCTTTGTGCGAAGAAAATTCCGTGAAAATTTCAAGGAATGATATTGATTTGGTCTACTTCAAAAAAATAAAATGTGAGCGTAGATTTTTAAACACCGCAAACGAGATACGTGGTTTGGTAGTTTCACCGTCGATATCTCCATTACAATGTTGCCAAATACTTTCTCGCAAATTGCATATTAACCAGGAAAACTTTGGGCATTTCTTACTGGATATTTCACTGATTTTTCCTCCGATTCAATTAAAAAATCAGGAAATTGTTTATAAAAATTGCACGGGAACATTTTTGTCAAATACATTAATTGATTGAGATAATTGGGTAACCTCGGAGTGGAGTTACGTTGCTTTGACCAGGAGACGACGTGACGGACCACGTGAAATTACTCAAAAAACGCGATGTTTCACGGTTAATGTTCGAGTGGACGAGGTTTTTTCAAAGACACGGTGATTTTCTTGCGACACAACTTGGAAATATGTGACTAGTGTGTTTACTTAATAAAACGCAATAATAACACGCAAAACGGGAATATGCGAGCAGAAACTAGGCCTTGATTCTGCTGACAGACAATTCATTAGCCTGAAAAAGAGCGTAAGTAACAACATGTCAAGGAGATCTCCGGCGCGCAAATACTGTTACGATATCAAGAACTCAGGTGAAAACGAATTCAGGCACTTTTACCGTATTAATTATTCTGGCACAACAATCAAAATTAGCAACAGGTGAGAGAACTGTTGTTGGCGACTTTGGATTTGCATGAGACTTCAAATATGGGACGGCATGATCTATGTCTCTTAACGTAGAATCGCACAGGAAATTTACTGGTAACGCTGTTTTTCCGCTTACAGAAACGCAGTAAGTTTCTTTCATCTCTAAAATAGGTACCTAGGTAATGGAGATGTTGCATGTGTGTGAGGAATTTGCGATTTGATTGTTGATTCTTATGTAAAAGTTCGCAAGAAATACGATGCTGCAACTGGTTTTCTCTGAAATAAACTTCCATGCTCAAAAAAAGCTCTCAAGTTGAGGCCAAAATGGAGGGGATATCCCACGCTATTCTGAGAGTCCACCTCTACATCACGACAAACTCTCCATGCAAAGATAGGGAGCAAATACATTGACAGGACTGCCACTTCATTTGGGGACTCTAAAACTGAAAACACGGCATCACTGCTAATGTATTTGCTCCCTATCTTTGCATGGAGACTCAGGAGAGTTTGTCTTGATGTAGACGTGGACTCTCAGGGTAGGGTGGGATATCCCCTCCATTTTGGCCTCAACTTGAGAGCTTTTGAGTTGATTTCAGAGAAAACCAGTGGCACCATCGTGTTTCTCGCGAACTTTTACACAAGAATCAACAGTCAAATCGCAAATTCCTCACACAAGCAACATCTCTATTGAGAATATGCTATGCATACGGCCAGAAAGGAATAATTAGAAATAGTTTATAGACAAAAGTTGTTCTCATAGACGTCAAATCCATTCTAGAAAGCTAATAAAGGTAAATTAACAATTTTTCCACGACACTTTCGACATTTTCCCTGACTTTTTAAAATGCCCTGACATTTCCCGGTATTCCCTAACAGAGGCAACCCTGCTGATATCTTAGCAGAAAAATCCGACAAACCTCAAGTGCGTACAAAAAATTAAATGATACAATTTAGATACCTAGTTAAGAGTAAACGATCTGAACAACTCGTCGGTTCCAACGTTAACTTGCTCTCGTTTCTCCACGCTGGTATACCTACTCAAAGTGCTCAGACGAGTCGAGTCTTAACAACCTCCTTCTCGATGACATTTAATCTGGCTCACACCATTGTTGACACTTTTTCAGAGCTAACGGTCATAATCGGGCACATCCTTACGCCGCGCGACGGCGCAAACGTATACCGAAACCGGTGCATTGTCGACAAAACAGCGAAGATCTATTTTCGTGTACATCTGGAAAAGCATGGCGTTACGTACTACTTACCATGCTAGAGAGACACGCCGTGTTGAACATACGAATATTACCAAATTTACTACCGATAAAATATTTCTTACTGAGAGGTTTAGAATTTGTAAATGTACTTGAAATTTTCAGATTAAGATGAAGCAATTGGAATGAACACGATTATTCCAGCAGTTTTGTAATGCACATTTTTCCATCACTATGGCGGCATTCATGGACATTAGCAATTCATGACAGGCAAAAAGCTAAGTTTTCCTTCATTTTTAGGTGATACCACATACCTACTTTGGAGTTCGAATAGTTGCGCGCTTGATTTCCACATTAACGATGCGAGCATAATACCCACATTCATAAACGTAGGTAATTTGGACCGCAATAAACAGAAAGGAACCAAACCACATCAGCTATTGCCAAATTTAATTGGGCAATTAACTTGTGTAAAAGAGAACGTTCAAGCGAATTCCTTTGAAAATTTTAAGGAATTTCCTTCGAACCTTGCAAAAAATTCACTGCAATTTTCACAAAAATCCGCACGACCGTTTTCTTGGAAAAAAAAAAAAAAATTCCCGGTTACATTCGGCAATAGTTAAAGTGGCTTGGTTCCATTCTGCTTAACGTGGTCTATTTAAGACAGGTGAAAAGCTAAGATTATCCTTCATTTTCGTGGGATACCAAATACCTACTTCTGAGTTCGAATAGTTGCGCGCTTGATTTCCGCATTTAACGATACGAGCATAATACCTACAGTGATGCAGTAGGTAATTTGAGATGGGCGAAAAGCTAAAATTCTCCTTCATTTCCGCAAGATACCACATTACTACTCCAGTGTTCGAATAGTTGCGCGCTTCGTGTCTGCTTTGACCAGTACTGATTCATGAAGCATTTTTACTATGCGAATTGCCACGAAAATTAAAAAATACATTCTTGCTGCGAAAAACTATCAATAGATCTACTTTTTCCAAATCTGTAACACTTTTCATTATGTTACAAGCATACGACTCCACTTACTTGTCCTGAAGCTGACGAAAACTAAAGCGAAAAAATAAATGGTAAAATTTCTGTCATAACTAGACTAATTTACCCAGTTACCAAAAACTTACAATAATACCTTCCAATTTTTATTTTTTTCTAAAAAGACCCCCTTTAATTATTCAAAGATTATGAACATTTCTATGACCCAAGCGAAGTAGGTAGTTTTGTGCGACTCCTGTACGATCAATTTTAGTGAAACTCGGTACTAAGCAGCATTTCTTGATGGAAAACTTGAATATGAACTCAAATTTTCATAATCTTTGAATAAAAAGAGGGGGTATTTTTAGAAAAAAAAATAAATAAAAATTGGAAGGTATTATTGTAAGTTTTTGGTAACTGGTAAATTATTCTAGTTATGACAGAAATTTTACCATATATATTTTTTTTCCGCTTTAGTTTTAGTCAGTTGAAGGACAAGTAAGAGGAATTGAATACTTGTGATATAATGAAAAGTGTTGCAGATTTGAAAAAAATAGATCTGTTGATAGTTTTACTCCGCATTGAGGTTCAATTTCTTACCACCTGGTAAACTTTAATTTTGAAGAGTGGCCTCTAAAGCTCAATTACTTAAATGGACGTATTTCTGTCAAATGGAACTATGTGCATTAAGACATGCTGACTACTGTGCTGTTATTTTACTGTAAGACCACAGGAACCAGCGACAGAAGAGAAGCTTGACGAAAATACAAAGCGCGAGGAAAATTGAATAAAGGAGACCGCGTAATAGAATGACTTTAACATGGAACGGTATAGATAGAATTTTGCCTATTCTCATGTTATTACTTAAGGGAAAAAAGTTACGGGCAAAATTACTAATGCACATTATTAGGTACCTAAAAAATGGACTAGTCTTGTGTAGGTAGCTCAAATTGGCGATAGAAATGAAATTAGATTGAAAGTAACCATCCAAATGGTCATGATCGCATATCAATTTGCAGAAAATGTCTGGTGTGAAAAAAAGAAATACTTGAATCTTAATAAAATTATGTTTACAAAACCGATGAGCAGTACTTCACAATACTAATATAAAATTTACTTAACCACTATTCTACCGCGATGGCGATACCTGGATATTTCCGCTACCCAAACATTGAACCTACTTTTGAAAACCCACATTCATATGCTCATACAGAATTGAGAGTTTCAATTAGAATTACTGGAAAGGGTCATTCAGAAACTAGTTTGACCGGACTTGTTTCTCAATAACTTAAGAGCAGTTGTAGTGGATAAAATTGCATTCATTTGGGTGCTTAAATAAAGAACCTCAAAACTGAACTCAAATGGCTAATCTACATACTGTGGAGAAGGCTGTTCATGAATGAAATGATAAAGATCAACAGCTTGCTATGAGGAAAAAAAGCAATTTCGAGCTGCCAACTATGAATGTGAAACAACAGAAGCAGCTACAACCTGACTCATACACTAGGACATGGGTCAACAAACCTGATGGAGTGAATGAATCTCAAGATTATGACACTTCCGAAAGTTATGAAAGATTCATGTTCTATCCGAAAAGACTGACACGCATTGAGAGGAGGCAACAATAAATACTTTCGATTAAACTAACAGAATACGAGTTTCAAACTGGATCTCACTTCACGAATTTGGGTTACTGTTTATTTGTAGGTTATCAGTTGATAAGGGCCAAGTGGAGAATGCGCGGAGACTGGCAGTTGGCAAAATTTCGCAGACACGGATTAACTTTGTACGGTAAAGGCAATTATCAGAGCTGTAAGCGGCGGGGTGAATGCAAGTTATTCGTAGAAAACTGCCAAGAGATGCGAGTCGGCGAAAACTAGGGTAAACAATGGGGCTTAAGCGCTCACCTGTGATTAGTCCAAAATGCAAATCCCAGGAAGGAAACTCGAGTTGAAATCGGGATCAGCACAGTACTTAATCCAAAGCTCAAACTCACGAAGTCAAAGCGCACAAATTAAATGCAAGGAAGCAAGTAGGTAGCGAAATACGCGCACATCCAAATTGGCACAGATCAATGCAGTTCGCGATTGATAGCACGACTGACTCGCGATTCGCGGCGAAGGTGCTCCTCTTGCCCGAGCGATTTGAAAAAAGGGTAGAAGAAAGAAGAAAAAGAAGGCGTTATCCGCGGCGTCTCGCAACTTTGAGGTAGGCGATGATGATAACGGACCGGACGGGACGAATTTCGAACGCGTAACGAACTGCCCAGTCTACATTTCACGTGTTCAATTCCGACCGAGCTTGTTGGCAGAGGTCATGTGACCGCTCCCGAGAGTGGCGTGATCACCCCTCGCTTCCCCTCCCGGCCCTCGCGCCCCCTCCCGCGGGTTCGCGAATAGCGATCCCACTTTTATCCCCACTCCCGCGGTTTTTGCACGCCGGTCCACAGAACCCCTTTCTTCCTCGCCGTAATAATAAGTTCATCTTCCTCCGGCTACGAGTTCGGCCCGCCGAGTCGCCGACATGTAGAACATTTCATGTTGTACATACTCATTCTAAATATACCAATTTCACCGTTCATTGGAAGGAGTATACATAGTAATTTTTTTTTTTTTTTTTTTTTTTTTTTTTTTTTTTTTTTTGTATACAAATACTTGTAATGTCATGAAGTTCCTCAGTTTTTTATCGAATTTTTTTACCAGAAACATAGGCGGTTCTACGGGGGTGTCAGTGGGTGCCAGGCACCCCCAAGCAAAAATTAAGTACGGTTATCGGAAACGTGAAATTACTGCTTTTAAAGATTCTGTATTCGCTCACACTGAGAAAAAATCCCAGCAATTAATTGAAAATGTTTTAAACAGAATTAAAATTGATAGCCGTGTTTTACAAAGATTCCACTGTTTTTTTATGATAAGATTGTAGTTTTAATGGAAAGTTTTGATAAAATTTTCTAATTGGAATTTACAGGTATATAAGTGGAGAAGAAGGAGAGAAAAAGAGAAAGGAGGGTAGGGAAGGGATAAAACTTGAGGGCCGAAACTTAGGCGTCCCCTGAGCGACCGTCCCCTTTGGAGACGGTCTCCGACGTTTTCCACCTCTGGGCACCCCCAAGAATGAAGGTCTAGAACCGCCTATGACCAGAAAGGCGCTTCTAAAAATCATTTTCACTTTTAAACATATGTTAAATTGAATTTTAACGTACTTCCGTCAAAAAAAATTTATTAAGCATTTTTTTTTTTTACCTATTTCTTGTAAGTACGACTATGGACCACGTTGAGCAGGAAGGAGCCAAGCCACATCAGCTATTGCCAAATTTAATTGGGCAGTTTAATTTTTTACATGTCAGTCGTATTGATTTTTGTACAAATTTCTCAAAATTTTCCAAAGGAATCCGCGCAAATGGTCTCTTGTAAACAATTTAATTGTACCCGATTACATTTGGCAATATCTAATATGGCTTAGTTCCTTTCTGCTGAACGCAGTCCTGTTAATGCTTTTTCAGGTCTTTTTGTCAAGGCCTTCTACAACTCAGTTAATTTTTATTGCAATCAGTTTTCGTACGTCTTTCACATGAAATTTCCAGTGTATCCAGTCCTTCATAACCCTCTCTAAATAATGCTGAAAATTAATCAGACAATGAAAGCAAAAACTTTCTTAAGTTCTCTCACTCTTCGCGGTCAGCAGAACATTTTTTTTAACAGTCTTTTAACATTGCCATATTTTAATGGCCGAATTCGATCAATTTTGGAGTAATTACTTACTTCTTCAATGTTTTTAATACAATATTCACTTTATCGGTTATACCTACGAAAACTGATTGAAAATTAAGAAGTACATTGGAATTAAATCAAATCAAGACCATATAACATAATATAAAAATTCGTAAATAGAAATGTAGCATACAAATTTCACTGATTCAAAGCAAATCCTGCCGTTAAACATGAGGTTTAAAAAAAGAAACGATTTATGGTCACCTTTCATCAAAAGTATCGCAAGCGCCCTGCAACGTTTCAAAATTTTCACCGCGATTTTGTTTTTTTACAGAGAAATCGTTCAACGGGGCTGTCTGAAAATTTCACTGGATTCTCTATGTGCTGTCGATAGAATTCAGTGAAATTTTCAAACAGGTTCCACCAAAACCATCTCTGTAAAAAAATAAAGTGGTGACTGAAATTTTGAAATGTCACATGGCGTGAGGGTGAGGCAGTTGGAAGTTTAAACACGAGGAAAGATCGATTAGTCAACAGATGTAGTTAATTTAACGTGGAAACACTTGTAAAATATTCTGATGCAAATTCATATCGCGCTCGATGCTGCAATTGTCTAATTATGCGTGCTCATATTTTCATCTCGTTGTCGCGTTTTTCGCTGCACCGTTATGATCCGTGTTCTGACCATGCAATTTCCGTCGAGTCTCCTATGTACCGCTTAATTTTTTTCGCTCATTCAATGAGTGGGCATTCAAAAAAGCTAAGCGCCAGCATGGATTTACGCTGTCTTCGTCATTGTAAATTCACCTAGATTCCCCCATCTCGTGAGTTTTTCCCCAGAAAATTGTTTCTAACTTGTATTTAACTTCAATTGCAGGACGACAACAAGAGAAAAATTTGCTTAATCCGAGCAACACCGGCTGATGACGGCGCAGAGATACAACTATTCGTGCTTGATGGATGTCCGTGTTGCGTCTGCAAAATTGAAGGCGCGATGGCTCGCGGCGTGAACTCACAGTGTCCGCTTAGTGCTGCCAATGAGGTGTTACTCAGATTCGGGAGAAAAGTTAAAAAAGAGGCCCGAACACATTTCTCCTATCTTCGGCTGTGTTACTCACGTAATGCTTAGAACCATTACGAATAAGACAAACGCAAAGAAACACAATAATGGAAATAATGCTAGGGAAAAAACGCGCGTTTACGACGGCGCAGAGATACAACTATTCGTACTTGATGGGTGTCCGTGTTGCGTCTGCAAAATTGAAGGCGCGATGGCGCGAGGCTTGAACTCGCAATGCACTGCTCCATGCTATCAACGAGGTGTCGGGAGAGAAGTTATAAAACGAGACCTGATTATATCTCTCTCGTCTTCGACTACGGATGCGCACGTAGCCCACCACTGCAAGTAAAACAAACGAGGACCAACAGTACCAACACGAAATGGAAACAGAGCAAGGGAAAGGATGCGCTTTGATGACGGCGCAGAGATACAACTATTCATGCTTGACGGATGTCCGTGTAGCATCTGCAATATTGAAGGCGCGATGGCGCGAGGCGTGAACTCGCAATGCACCGAATTGCACCGCGCCATGCATGCTGCCTGTGAGGTGTCACTCAGATTTGGGAGATCAGTTAAAAAACGAGGCCCAGCTGTGTCACTCTTCTCTTCGGCTGTGCTGACACTCGATTGTTTTCTTGCTTTTTCATTTGACTTCTGATTCTCTTTTAGGATGTATTCGTAGACCTGTGTAATGAAAGCTCTTTCGTCTACCCCATACAAACCGCGGGGGAGGGGGGGGAGTGTTTGTAGGAAACCTCGGGTCCATTTGACACGGCTTGGGCATTATTTTATAGGTTTTGAGTTTGCAATTTTCATTTAGGGGCGTCCGTTGCACACGAGTGATGCGATTTAACACATCGTTGGCTAAAGTGCAAAACCACGTATTTCCGTTTGCGACGTTGCAGACATTTCTTTTTTGCTAATTTTTATTCTTTGCAAAACTAATCGACGTGCTTTCTTGAAAACGTCCTTGATTGTTTCCCTTCTGCAGAATATTCTGTGTGAATTTCAAGCTCTGAGGTTGACTTGTTTCTGCTCAAGAAAAAAGAATAGGAGCGGAAATTTTTTAACATCGCACAGGATATACGTCATTTCGCACTTAGGCGATCCATAAGTATAATATACACATTAAACCGGTCAAAATCCACTATGATCACGTCAAAAAAGTGTGAAATCAACTCTTTCACGCATAATTTGCACAGTCCGTAACACATTTTCAAATTTTTTGTGTCCCCTGTCCCCCGGGAACTTTTGCTTCATCGTTGCCAGCTAGATTTGCCCAGAGAACACTGTTGTCAGATTGCACGATAAAGTATGGATACTTTACATGGTTTTAAATAGGGAAAAGCGCTGATTCCCAAAGCAATCTCAGTCCCGAATCACCAGCACTAGGCATCACCCCCGTAACTTTTGAACCAATATTGAGATAGAAACTTGAAATTGTGTGAGTGCTCCCAGGTCAAAGGAAACTACATTTGGGAATCTATAAAATCTTAAAGGAATTACTGTAAAGAGGACAAGAACCCTACGGGTGGGTTGTAGAGGTGATTCGGGACTTAACGATCGTATCATAAAGGTCTGAAAACGATGCGATCTCGCAAACTATATTTCCGATCTCATACACGTATGATCTAAGTCGTTTCAAATAATTGGCTGGGTGATGGAGTCCCTCAGAATGAAAATTTCCAACCGCGCTTCGCAAAGAGGCTGTCCTGCCTTGCTAGGGAAGAAAGTCGTATGAGCGTTCAGGCTTTGCCAAATTTCTTTCGAAAGACAATGAATTTTCTGGAAAATTTGTGAATATTTTTCTTCCGATTATTGAGAGGATTTCGTTCGAAAGTTGACCTAAAAAGTCTGAAAATTATAAAGAACAAACATTCATAGCTTTCTTCCAAAATAAATATTTTGAGAGGAAATTTGATAGTCTCGAATGCACACTCGGCATTTTCTGCCGAGCTAAGGAAGAACACCGTATGAGCCCCCAGGCGTTGCCAGGTTCCCTTTGATAAAAGTCTAATTTAGTGGGAAAATGGTGAATATTTTCTCCCCAAAATTCTCAGACAATTTTGTGCGCAATTTAATCCGAAATATCTGAAAATTTCAAGGACAAATATGCAGGGATGTCGTCAAAAATACATGTTTTATCGAGTGAAATTTGGCAACTCTCGAATGTTCATAAGGCGTTCTTCCTTAGCACGGCAGTTTTGTCCTAACACGGCAGTGGAGCGGAGGGACTCTTTTTGTTTATGATCACACTGTACGTACTCAGAGCTTCCAACGCCGCTGACCTACAGAAGTGCGCATCATCCTCTTGCGAAGTGTGGGTAGAGGTCGGGCCGTTCTCGTAGCGCCACGTCAGAACTTTTGGAAGAAGATCGTTCACCTGTTGCGCAAATTTCAGTCATAGATTTAATAATATATCAAATTGGTTGCGACATGGACCTTGGATTATTCTTGCTCGGCCGATGACGTTTATCATCTGACTTGGCTTT